GCGTGAGTAGAGCCGCATGCCACCGAACAATCAGCCTTTTCACCATGTAATTCAAAGCATGCAGAGCACGCTGGACCACAAACCGAGAATTTGCGGTTTGGCAGGTGGCCTTCATGGCCAAGCAAGGCTGGAATTCTTGGAGTCGGCTTTCGGAAAGAAAGTCCTGTCATAAAGGGGTTAACAATCTGAGAAACGGACATCGTTCGCCCAGCTTCCTGTTGTCATTACAAGTGTGACGCAAAATTTAAAAATCAATGATTTTTTACAGTGATTTTACAAACACCAAAACCAAAAATCCCATCGCGATTCAAATAAAAATACAACCCTAATGAGTTTTCTGATTCTCGCTTCTCAAGAGCCCGACTAATCGCTGAATTATTCATATTACTGCTAAAAGATGTAGCATGCCTGCCAATGAGATTGTACGCTGTCATGACGTACATTTTGCAAAGCGGCTATCCAAGCACAATATTCCCTCATGACGTTACACTTCTTCAGTGACCGTCTCGCAAGCAGGTGGCCGCACGGCAGTGGGTGAGTGAACTCAGAGACTATTGATCAATCATGGTCATGCAGCTAGTGCCGAACATGAAAATGCAGACAGAAAATTAAATAAAACTGTCTCTCCACGACACAAGTTGTGTTGGAATGACTATTTACACGGATGGAGGCCCGAGTTGATGGGTTTATACATTCTTGCAGGTACACACAGGCCTACTTGTGCATGCCGTTAAGTTAGCTTCGTCCTCGTTCATGGTGATCGAAAGTCTTTAAAAAATCCCTGGATCAATGCTTTCACATTGCTTTTTATCTCGCATGTACATTAAACATCTTGTCATATGACAGTGAAGCTTATTATTCTAAACACATCAAAATATATTAAATAAATCATAACCAAGAGATCTTTTTGACATCGTTAACATCAACGATGTTTACGTGTGTGCATTTCCATCATGCCTTCATTGGCAACAGTTCGGCCCAGCGGGAACCAGTGTGGTGCACTGCGCACGTGTTTTCCCCATTGCGATTTGCAAATGCTTTATAAATGGGTCGGCAACAATGGTTTTTCAGACAACGGAGTGATGGAAACCTTTCATTTTACCAGGAATTTTGTACAATGCGATTTCGCTGTAACAGATTTTCTCCACATAGTAATGTGCACGTTTTTGCCGGGACCAGTGTTTGTTATAATCGGAATTTCATTATAATTGATTTTGTAATAACGAGAGTTGATTGTTACTTGCAATGCCGGCCACGCCGTAGAGTTCTCTGGAAGCTACCTTGCTACATGTATTGCACACGCACAGAGGAGCAGCCGCTGGTGACCGGCATGCAATCATTACATTAACGCACTGTCTCGGCGAGTACCAAGTTGACTGTAGTGCACGTGCAGATTTTCACACAATAGGACATGAAGGGTACGTTCAAGCGAGCTACTCGCTTTAACACGAGTACTCCTCGGAAGCACACGAACGGCAGGAGTACGCTGCGCGGATCAGCGTCATGCAGAAGTATATTCCTGACCCGAGAATAATGCGTACACATCTTCACTCTTGTTGACTGGAGTATTTGCCTGAACGCACCAAAGGAGTGACCACACAGACAGGAATCATGGAGCAATGGATCGGTATTTCAAACACCGTTCAGTTTTTATTATTTTTTCACATATATAAGATTTATTTGACATCAAATGGAAAGATGAATTATAATGCTTAAGTTCAGGGGGTTTTGTGACGTTAAAAATCCCTTTATGCCGAACCAAAGTTGTTTTGTATGTGTTTGCCAATGAATGTCAGAATCACTCCTGCCTTTTGATGATGTAATGCCCTCTGCAACAAACACCGCTGTTTTAGTAAATACCCTGGTATTTTTTTTCACAGATACCACGGTGTGGAAAAAGGCAATACCGCCCAAGCCTGCATGTCGATCATGTCAGTAAGATCCAAACAATCTTTGTTGTCCCCCAGACTTGCCAAGCAGTTAGCTCAGGACCAAGCCAGCGCGGAGAAGGCAGACACCAAGAAGCCCTTCACCACAGCCAGCAAGGCCATCAAGAGATTGCTGCCCTTCCACCTGTGCCAAGACAAAACCGCCACCGACAAGCAGCTCGCCCTGAGTGAGTTTTTTGGTGTTTCGGAATTTCTCCCTCGAGTGTTCTGCCCAAAAACAAGCCAATAGTTTTTGACTCTTTTTCTGGAAGTGCACATCATTGTTGTTGGTGTTGCTGGCTTCGCTTCAGAAAGCAAAATAGCCTCCAGATTCTAGGTTGATTTAGGGAATGTCTCAAAAGTCTGAAACGTTTTCATTCCATCAGACCATTACTCCTTGAACGTGAGTATTCTATCGGAAGAATCAGTGGGAACAGTCAGCTTTGGACTTACACCATTCAAGGCAGTATCCTGACTTGAATGTCTCATTCCCAGTGGAACAATATGAAGCAGGTGTTTCAAATGGAAAGTTTTGACCATTCTGAATTATCAAATGCACCCTAATGCAACCGACTGTGCTTTGGAAGCCACTGGCTAGCAAGCTGTAGCCACTGCCCCTAGACTCACGCGTTACTCGTAGTCACAGCCAGTTGCTTAGTACATAACCCAAGAAAGGACAGGTTTTATACGCACACTGGTCCCATGTGCAAACCTACGCAGTGCACTCAACCATTTTTCATCAGAATAGGTACATACCTGTACAAATTGTTTGCAAGAGGAATGAATTTCTATTTCATACAGAAAAGTGCCATTGATTGTCCAATAAATAAATCCAACAAGCACCACAACACACATTGTGTTCTTAACATTGAGGCTAGTATACATTCGGCAAATCAGACAGTCCCACTTAACAGGGGTGTGAGTGGCCACTTAAAATTAGAGCTGACAAAAGCTGAAATGTAAAAAGTTCCCATATTTTGTACAGACAAGGTGTACAAAAAAGCTGAAATTTAGGGTCAACATCTAGAGAAAAAGCTGAAATTAGCTAAAAAGCTGAATTTTCAGACACCTGGCCTGTAACATCTGCACCTGTGTGCTTCTGTGGTGCTCCCACAGTGTTGGCTTGTAATTCTTGCCACCATATTAGTTCATGACGGGGGTGGAGGCTTTTTGCATGGGGGGGGGAATCTTTTTCACCACTGAATGTGCAATTTTCCACAGAGGTTGGTATTCACTTGTCAGTTCTGTCGCAGCTTTTAATAATCAAGATATCTTCTAAATAACACCTTGCTGCAATGTTCAGGGCTGAGCAGTGTTGATAATGATCTGCTATCTGATTTACATCTGTTTCGATGACCCCACAGCTGACGAAATATTTGAAACCAAGTGTATCGGTTTGATGGAAAAGAAGCAACGGATGCTCGACAAGTACCAGCTGCTCCTATACAATGAGAGCATGGTGAGTTGAAAGGAAAAAAAAGGAATCCACCTTCCGTGTTAATGGTTGATTGTATACTGCACAGAATGCAATGGCTTGTTAGATATCTGAGATATCTGTCAAGAATTTATCTCATGGCAAAGCACCAACTTACAAAACAAAAAGGGATTTCATCGTGTAATCTTGCATTCTTCCCTGATGGTATCTCATGGCATTTTGGCAGAGGCTGAGACCATCGGCAGAGGTGGTGATGATCGAGCGGATGTTCCTCAGCGACGAGCGGAACAAGCTAGAGGCTGACAAAAAGCTTGCTGCGGCAAACAAAGGTAAATAACCCTAAGCTTGAAGCCAGAGGGTATACTGGATAACATGGCATTAGAAGGTGATGTGTTGTTCATGGACTTGCTTCGCAATTTACCAGAGGGGTACTGTTGGAAGGCTGGTTGGCACTTTGAGTGAATGCGAAAGCGAAACAAATTTCGTATCTTGGAATTTGCAGTACAAATTTCTGATCTGATAGCATGTGTTGCTAATTGTTTAGAGTTCCTGGTCTTCTCAAATTTGCCTTTCGTATCGTCTTGTCCTGCAGAGCTGCTCCACAGCAGTACATCTATCTCAAACACCTTGACCATCTCAGGACATCCAAGCACGGTCAACACAACCACCACCACAACATCATTACCAGCAGGGTCCACCTCTGCCAAAGTGAAGCTAGGCCAAAAGATGGTGAGTAAAATTGGTTTCAGTGTTACGTTTTCTTTGAACCCAAGCCAGGTTGCGTTCCACTCCTGTTAAACATTGTCAAGGTGTGCTGTCGTCTTGCACATTTTCACTGGGAAACTGTTTGTGGTAAGAGATAAGAGATGTTCACCCTAACCACATGCTGCCTGAGGACCCAGTTTCGGGCACATAGGTTGAATACACGAAGCTTGGGAGCCCAAAACTGGACAAAAGAGCTGGGCCTTGTAACAAAAGACCGTACTCAGCACAAACGACTGAGCTGCTGGGAATTGCCAACATTTTTTCAGTTGTCAATATCGGAGGAAATCCGTCCTTGTTTTACAAGATTATACCACTATTTTTGGCATTCAGCGCAAGCAGATTACCAACGGGGACAAAAGTGCTCCAGCGCCCCAGCAATGAGCGATAAATACCGCTGCACGCTCATCTGGCCTCTATTGAAAAGACACCAGCAGCGCACTGTGTCGGTTTCAGGAACAAAAGAAACTTACATAACACCGCACAATCTGGGCTCTTTTTACGAGGCTGCAGGCCTGGCTGAAATTCTCGGGCGTCAGTAGAGTTTGTCTGTCAGATTAGAGTAGCCACCAGACAGTCTTTTGTGTGGGTGTAAACGTCCTGTAAATGAAGTTATGATTTTTGTAGATTTTTGAAAACAGAAAATCCCCCGAGTATATGTCATCCAATTTCAAATTCCGCCCGGCAGCAAGTGGTTAATACAGAGATTTCAAAGATGAAACTTTTACAGTAAACTCTGTGGGTGGTGTTGGGTTCTTTTTGAGTGTCAACTTCCCCAAATCTATCATCCAAAATCCTTTTTGCCTATCGGAGGATTTTGAGATGAGGCTCCTTTTCTTTTGACATGAGGCTCAAGAAAAATTGGAGTACACAGAAAGTGCCATTAGTTCAGTGCACACTAGGGGATTTTGAAAGTTTCTGAGAATGAATGTTTAGGGAGTAAGGATTCAGCACTCACTTTTTATCCAACTGTTGTCTAATTTTCTTAGGATACACCAATTCTGCGTGAGTTGGTAACATCCTCATCAATACCCCAGAATCTCCTTTCGCCAAGGATTGCCGCTGCATTGACGGAAGTCGTGGCCACCAAAATGGCTTCCACGGCACACAATCCAGACAGGGAAGGGGGCGCAATGGCCAAAGAGAATGGGGCACTTGAATCGTCAAGCTCCGAGAGCGGGGACAGCCTGAGGAACGGCAGTGGGGATGGGCCGGACTCTCCCCGCTTACCACCCAAAAAGCGTAAGGTGGACATGAGCGCATACTTGATCGAGGATTCAGCGGGGCCCAACGAGGGTAACATTGAGAATCACGTCAAATTAAAACTGAAACGGAAGCCGGCTGCTGAGATGATGGATCCCGGCAGAGAGGTCCCCTCTGCCCGACATCTCAGCGACAAGATCCCAGGAGTGAGCGAGGTGGAGATTTCCCATCCAACTAACCAAAGAAGATTGACGCCTGACCGACGACCTTCCTTCCAGGATACCTTCCTGAAATCTATTGGTATCGAAGAAAAGGCTGTTAGCAACACCATCATGCCGGTTCAAGAGGAACTGAGAGAAAACAAGGAAGTTGAGGAGGCACCAGTCCAGGATGAAGAGAGTGATGAAAAGATCTCTGTTGTGGACCTACAAGAGCAGATGGAGTGTGCCATCAACAGCATCTTGGACTTACAGCGACAGGAGCCTGTCCCAAAGAGCCCTGGCCTAAATTGCCCTAAAGTTCTCCAGGACATTGCAGTGGTCAAGCCAGCTATCCCCCAGATGAAACCCCAGTCCCCTAGGGAAGTTCAGGAACTTGGGAGTGACGGAATGAACTTTGATGACCAGTCAGCCCTCTCGGACATTGACTTTGAGAGCCACACTAATTCCATCGAATACGACCTCGGGCACATCGGGGACACTTTCCCATTTGACACTGACGACCAGACCCAGTTCCTGCCTGACCGGAACACAGACATCTTCCATACAGACATCAGCAGCTCCTCCTACCCACCTGCTCCCACTGCGACAGCCATCAATGCCAGCCCAGTCCCAGAGCATGTGATCAATGAAGACACAGAGTCCAGCCTCTACAGCAGTTGTGGAGTGGAGAAGCAGCATCCGGCCTCCGAGTCAGCACGGAATGGCTACGGAAACACAAACGATGACTCGCCTCTGCTGGACGAAAGTTCAGTGGTGGCACAATTTCAGAGCGAACTGAGCATGCTCCAGCATCGGCAGGCAGAAGAGGAGCAAGTGTCAGAGGAGGAATTTTTCACTGGTGGTACTGGCACGGAAACTGCGGAGACAGACCCTGACCTTGAGGCCGCAGTCAACAGCATACTTTTCTGAAGATAGTGTCACTACCAGGGCCTAGCCGGGTTGGACGACATCTACATTGCATTGCCACTTAAGTCCAGGGTATGAAAGTCTTCCAACTATGCAAAATTTTTTACGTGGTAAAGACAGCTCAAAATGTCATTCAGAAGTGTCTTGGGTCCCAAATTCCATAAATGCTGTTTTGAAATTAATAAATATGCCCACAGACAACTGTCTTTTGCAGGAAATTCTGCGAAACGCCACGCTTTCTGGCGCGATTCCCTAACGATCTACATAGTACATGTACATACACGTTCATCTAGCGTGCATACTCGTGCGAAATGCATAGTAACCAGGTGCCATTACAAATGCGCGGAAGAGCCGTGGGCGTGAAGAAGTCGTAGATAAGGCCTTGTCCAAACATGGCTTCCAAATATACGGCTAGGTCTGTTGTCTGCGCGTCTCCACGTTTGTAATGGAGCGAAGACCTAGACCTAGCTCTAGACAACATGCGTAACTGACAGAATGTGGGCCGAGCTTTGAGGCCATTTCGTGCATACGCAAATGAGTACTACCGTACGAACGTGGGTTGTTCATGAACCGTGACGGAAAGCATAGAGTTTCTCAGAATTTCCTGCAAAATACATTGTCCATGGGCGTATTTAGTAATTTCAGCACAGCATTTATGGAATTTCGGACACAAGGCACTTGTGAACGACATTTTGAGCTGCCTTCGCAAGGGAGAAATTTGAGAAAAAACTGATGGAAAAAATTTCGCAAAAAATTTGGTAGGACGTTTATACCCGGGACGTTAGTCACAATGCGATGTAGACATCGTCCAACCTGGGTTATACCAGGGCCCAACTTCTCAGAGCTACTAAACAGAGAATGTGTTAGGTGTGGAATAGCAAAAACTGGCTACCAACATAAGTTCCATGTGTTTTTCATGTCTGGTTCTCCACTTATTTGCGTAGCACATAAATTTGTTCTGCAATCAGGGTTCCCACAGTTATGGAAAATCCTTGGAAAAAGTTGTCCTGGAAAGTCATGGAAACTTTGGAAAAATAGGATGTCCCAGAATCCTATTGTTACAGGGGGAAAAGCTAAGTAATTCAAAACATGCAAGAGTTATTTTTGATGGACCGTTTCAAATGAAATAACAGAGTGATTAATTTACAGACTGTATCCTTGTCAGTCTCTAGTAGTGGCTATGGCAGTCCTCTCATTCAAAATACCAAACAACTTTATCCATTGCCAAATGACATTAAATGTCATGGAAATTCCTGGAATTTGGTCTGAGAATTTTTGTGGGAACCCTGAGCAGTGTTTGCTACCTAGCATTTCCTTGAAGTTGGGCCCAAACCGGACCAAAGGTGCGCGGTCGCGTAAGGAACTTAGGATGTCAGCGACATGCAACAGGGGGCAGAGCTCTCCTGAAGGGCTGCCTTCCCCGTCTGCGAAGCAGTTACCACACGTATGCTGCCAAAAAGGTCTCTCCACCATTTTCTGAACCTTGGCTTCAACTCACCCCACCTCCTCCTGGCTTCAGTACCAAGAATCCTGTTCCCGGTAATTGTGAGTTTTCTTTGGTGACAGAGATTGTCTAATGCAGGGACAAAGGTTGGTTCTTTTTTTTGTTTTTGTTTTTTGTTTGTCTTGTTTGGTTTTAAACGTAAATGCCCGAAAGTGATTCAGGATGCTGAGATGAAGCTGGAGGCAGGCAGATCCAAAGAATTGGCATTATATCACTGGAATGAATTTGAATGAGTAAAAGATAGAAGTCCACTTTCTGTAGTCAGTCACTCGTAAAAGTGTCTTGACAGTGGCTTCATTCACATAAATTTTCCCACTAGAACAGCTTCACACGTTTAGCAAGCCCACATCATATTGGTGGTGTGTGATTCCAGCCAGCATGATATGCCGAGCAGCCCAAGTGATTTATGCTGATGGCTGAACTGTTGCCCCTTACTGTACATTCAGCTTTCGGTAACACCTACCCTGACCATTCCCCCAACCTTGACATAATGCCAGGTAAAAGTGCTGCTCGAGTGTCATTTTGGTGCTGTGAGCAACCATGGTTTATACATGGTGTTTGCGCCAGTGTGTTAGAGCATGTGATCTCTATTAGTTCCAAAACCCAGGTTTACTACTGTTTTGTCAGATTTTCTGTGCCCGTTCAAATTCTGCAGATCTCTGTTCTGTGGATGCCACATTTTGTTTGAACTCGTGTGTCTTTTCCTCTGGTTCTCAGTGGACCATTGGCTCCCACTCACTCTGTGAGAAAGCACACGTACATAAACAAGAGTGCAAAGTCATCAGTACATAGGCCTATTCATCTTGATGTCAACGGTCACGGGATTGTGTAAACGGTTGAGATTCATCTCTAAATTGTGTGTACTCTCGTCTAATTTTGTCTTTAATTTGCAATCAGTGTTGATTGTTCTCATGTTAGTTGAGCTGAAATCTAGAGGCTGTGTTTTGTGGATTCCCTGAGACGAGAAGAGAACAAAAAGAACCTGCGGGCAAAGAGTGGTCAGTTACATTGAACAGTCAATCCATAAGACGTCCAAAAGTCCACACAGACATTATTAGACTTGGCCATATGTCAGGAGAGGTTCAACCGTTGTTTTGTCTTCTGAAGCCTGTGTCGTGAGTCCATACCTATGGATACTGAACACAAGTCTGAGAAAGATATACTGCATAGTTTACCGTGACAAGACCAACACAAGACTGACCTCCAATCTGAATTCAAGGCATAGGCTATTGAATTGAACTGCAACAGAGACGTTCACTTTGTTTCTTGTTACTTGTCTTGTTTCTGATCTTCAAAATTGTTTTGTGATGGTCCCGACTACAACACTAATATTATAGTTATACGAAGTTGTCACAAATGGTTACATTCTCTCAGAAGCACTGTAGTCCCGCCAGCCTTCAATGCACTCCAGGTTATGTGCAGCATAACAGTCTCACAGACTCATTTTGTGAGAACCAGTTACTTACGGCAGGCTTGCTCTATTTGATAGAAATGGACAGTGGGATGCCATTGAACAAACTCTGGCTCCATCTTCATAGACCTTTATGATGATACTGCCATGTTTTTCTTGTTTCCTGTAGACCCAGTGGCGATAGTAGTTCAAGTTCACATACTGATAAAAGGGAACAGACTGTTTTTCCTTCAAGGCTCAGTTTGGTTACATTGCTTTGAATGGTAGAGAAGCAAGATGACTGCCCCATGAAAGGGGGGTCCTGACAACTGTACCGTTTGCCAACTCGACTTGGGCCAACTCGACTGTTGAGACAACTCTACCATCTGTGCATCAAATTGAGAGACAAGTCGACTGTTGGACAAGTTTCCTCTCGACTAAGTCGTCTGTTGAGACGTGTGAAATACTTCAAATTCAGACTGTTTAGTACTGGCCTCATGCTAGGCCTACCCGCTTTTGAAACTTGTACATTGTCATGTCAATAGTCCAAGATGAAAACCAATTGGCATCTGGTATTGGGCAGATGTTGAGTTGGGGCCTTGCCAGAGAGGGATGGATACCGCATTGTCTGTCCCTGTGAGAGCTATGCCAGCCCACGCTCCCAGAGTTGCTACGTCACGCGACGCACACAATGCGGGTGTTTCACAATAGCGCGCTTCCAAGAGTTTGTAGTGCATTTGCGCGTTTGGAAAGGGTGGACAGATTTTGCACATTGTCACTGGCCAACGCAGTGCAAATTCTGTTGGAGGCGTGCGATTGTGAATTGCCCATATTCTAAATGCATAAGACAGTTAAAATTATAGAGCTACAGTGTATATAAAAATTAAAACTCTACGGTGAAAATATTTGCACCCGTGCTGACCTGGCCACGTATTTGAATTTTCTTATGTAGACATCTCACAGGGTCGAGTTTTCTCTTTGCTCAAGTCGAGTTTTCTTAACGGACGACTTGCCAAACAGTCGAGTTGACCCAACGGTCAAGTTTTCTCCATCGGTCGAGTTTTCCCGAGTCGATTGACAAATAGTCGAGTTGTCCAACACGTGAAAGAGGTCCATTGTCTCAAGCGTAAAAGGCCGGTTCATACTTGGTACGAAAGCAAACATGAAGGCAAATTTGTGACGTCAGGTTAAATACGTGTATTCGCGTTGCGAATTTGCAAAAGGTGCACGCGTTTGAACTCCGAGTGAAATTTTGCTGCTAATCTGTTGTGATGTCAAATTTGCTTCGCTTTCATATTTGCCTGAAGTATGAGCCTTCCTTTTCTAGTAAGCAGTACCCTGTTGCAACCACTTGCAAGCCGGAGGCCTTATTAGGTTCCATGAGTGCCTGGTCTATTTCTGGCTGCTATCGTAGCTTTCAGACTAGCTAGTAAACAGATTGACTGTGCCAAAGTGGCTGCAATATAAAGAGACTCTCGTCAGTGTTTGTACAGATTCGTTTGCAAGTTTCACCATTTTAACACTGATCCTAAGTTCTTGACTCGAGCCCTAGTGTTACTGAAGTAATTTTTCTACCCCTCTACGTTACTCAAGAATCCCTGGGCTGGCCTGCGTTTTGTTTTCACGAACGAAGTGGATATTTAGCTGTCGCCGGCAAATTCAACTGTTAGCCCCTAGCTAGCCGGTTTCAGGCAGACAGCACCCTCTTTGTTGCGTATACATGTGCACAAGTAAGGCTGTAAATTTTATTAACATTACCTTGAGGTTTCAAGCAGGGGTCACAGTCATAGCGCGCACGCGCGTAATCTTAAGATCACGTGACACATTCGCAACTGTGTCCGATCTCCAGCTATCGTCTTTTTTGTTCCAAAGATTAAGAAGTTTCTTCTTTTTTACATCTAAATTAACACCAACTTTTAATTACAGAGTTTAACTTTTTGTTTTTCTGATTTGTGGCTCTAGACAATTTTTTTTCATAAGATAAAAGTTCGAAATGGTTGGGTACCCACCTTGTGAATACCAAGTCACAACGACTGTGTTGGCGCAGAACCAAACTAATATTTGCCACGGTAAGAATTTAAGTCAAAAAAGTTATGTGCCCGGCAAAATATCGTTTAGTTGTATTTGCCAGCGACGGCTAAGTATGCACTGCCTTTCCAATTACCTTTTGTCCAGCCCGAGTTCCTGTTTGTGTGGAAATGCCTTAATGATACTGTGTGTTTATTTTTTCGTGCTCTAGAACAAGCCAAAGTTTTGTGTGGGGGGGGGTTGTTTGTGTTCGCACGTGAAGCTTTGTGCCGAAGATTTGCTTGTATTTTATGCAGGCGTGTACTGAATGTGGTATACAATTTTGAGCGTATGAGTTTGTGCACAGTACAATTGAGGTACCGTGTGATGCTGGGGTCCGTACAAAACAAAAGGAGACTGGACTTCGCGGTGGTCCATATCTCATATGGTACAGGTCAAGCTGTAACGGGTCTCGGGCCAGTTTCAGAGAACTGCTAAGCAGCAGGGTAAAATCGACGGTGGCATCTCAATACCAGTTCACAGCAGAACCAAGTCTTGATGCAAGCTGAAAAGGTATACAAGCCTTCAGCACGTGTCGCATGCATGGAATGCATTGGGTTTGGATAGGTTGACACGCTCGTCACGAAAGAGAGATGTTGCTAGTGACGGTTCACTGCTCATTTCGTAGCCGAGCAGGTCTCGGTGCCACGGACTCACGGAGCAGCTTAACACTGATTTTTACTCCACCAAAACAGCTCACCATCCAAAGTATCAAATTCATTCATCATGTTTTGCGTGCTACTTGCCCTCTGTCATTTCGCTGAACTGTGCTGTCTGCTCGGCAACTCTCAGAAACCAGGCTGTGGTCCTACACCGCGTAAGCTACATTATGCTGTTCTGCATATCCCTGGAACGATTTGTCAATCGTAGAGAACAGCGTGTTTTTTTTAGCACAAGTCCGCTGCCATTTGATACGCAATCACGGAAGGTTACCAAATTATGTGGTTATACCACTGTGATATTGAAGTACAATGTTTCGTGAAAAGGGGGTTTAAAAAAACTTTATTTAGAAATACAGTTGTCTCAAGTGCAGATTTGATGACCAAAAGCGAGAATTTTGTGAAAATCTATTTATGACTATTTATTAACCTGAATTATGTTGAAAAATTGCTTATCATTGTTGGTTGTCCATCTGTTGAATAAATCAAACCTCTCAGGAAATCATAACTCATCGTCTGCAAGTCGTGGTTTCGTTTCTTTGTAGTGTGAAAAAAAATGATTTCCGGTACTCTATGATGTGACTTTATGAATTAAATTCTTTAACCTAATAAGAGCTGAAGGCAGATTCCACCCCTTCGACTTTTTTTGCGAAATCGTTGCCCTTTTTCTCACTTTCCGCTAGCATTCAGGAGTGTTTTTTAGTACAGTAATATTGAGGTCCTTTGGACGAAAATCGGACATGCCGTTCTCGCTCATTTTCCGAGACGTCGGCCAAAACTATTTTCCGCACAGATGTGTTCATGAAATATGCAAATTACGTGCGCATGCGCGCTACTACAACTGGTTGGCAAGTGCAACCGTCATTACCGTCAGCAATGCAGGAGAGTTGCTGTGACCATAACCTGGTGCGCGCGTTGGAGGTCAGTAAAAACATTGTTACAGCCTTTGTCCGATATTTCATCACGGTTTTCTCGAAACTAAGTGAAGTTTTTTGGTGCTCCGAGATTGAAAAGTAACAATTCCTTGCCTTTAGATTTCTTATAAGTTTGGCAGGCTCATTTCAAACTTGACTAGAGAAACTCGGTACCTTCTTCGGGCCTTGAAGAAGGAACTTAGTTACTGAAAGCTCGGCAATGACATTTCAGAGCACTGATTTGATATTCTTGTCGATATTCTCATCACGGTGCTACGCAGCCCCTCCATATTTCTAGAGCAAAAACTCATATGTGCTCATAGTTGCATGCGCATGGAGATTTGTTTTGTTATGTCATAGATTTAAGCAACTTTGTCAACCAGTGTTAATGCGCATGTGCGTGCCTTATTTGCATATTTCATGTGAAAGGCCCATTCACACAGGGTCGACGCCACACACGTGAGCCGGTGAACTTCAAATGACCGTAATAGCAAAATCATATCTCGAATTGAGTTGAAACTTTGCATTCAGTTTGTGCTAGTGTCTTTACATGCAAGATCAGGCATTGGGAGTGTTTGGGAGCGTAATCCCCCACCCACCGGCGGTGAGATGGTGTGAAATAAACCTGGCCCTTCAAGTGTTGATGAAGCTCTCTCCCTCCAATGTATTAATTGTGCGATTCTAGAAAATGACTTCGAACATTGTTCCTAGATTCGCGTTTTTAGGTTGCACCTCTGCTGACTAGCTTTGGCCAGCAATTAAGAGGATGTCGGTAAGACAGGAAACCTCAGTTTCCAGAAGTTGTCAGAACAATAATTCATATACCAGAAGGGTATAAAATCGTATCACCATGGTCGTCGCAGGGAGAGGGCGCCCCCCCCCCGAACAACTGAAAAAGGAAAAGAAAGCAAGCGACTGAGATGAAAAACACGAAATGGGTGAAAATTACCAGTTTGCTCGAAAAAAAATGTTTGAATTTACCTGCATCGAATGTTAATGGTTTATCGGTTCGTTGCTGATGAGTGCATGTCCCCCAGTGAATTTTCCCCGTGCAACACCCCCCGGAAGCCGCCCGTGAGCGTCCTGGAAGCGACTTTTTTGCACAACACGCTGGGGAAACACAATTTAAAATAAAGGTCATAATCATGGCTTGGAAGCTAAGTCCGGTATTTAAACAGTGGAAACTTCTACGATGCGTAAAGCATAGGCCTAGTCTCTTTTCCAGTACTGGCAATTAAAAACATTCTCATAGGAAAGTACATGTGCATGGACAATCCCGAGAATGTTGTGTGATAAAAAAAATGCCTCCTGTAAATGTGACCCGCTCTGTAAAAATTAGTCACAAGTCTCCAGAGCTACGTTTGAGTTTTACTTTGTGTTAGATTGAGGAATTTGAACTCTTTCTTTCGATGTGTCACTCGGTTTGGTACAATGAAAATGGACGTTGTATAAATGTTAAAATGTTGAGGATTCCTATTGCTTAAACACTGTGCAAGATTCTTTCAAAGACCTTTAACTCAGAAGTGGCTCTGGAGACGTCACTCATTCTCACAGAGCGCGTCGCAAATGTACAAAGCAAAGCCAGAAAGTTTTGAACGGTGGTATAATGCACGACCGTGTCACAATGATCGAGTTTGGGCCGTCCGTTCTTGACACGGGTTTCTTGTTCTCGCGCTCGAACTGCGAAAACACGACTCAAGAACACTGTACTCGGATCACACACCACCTCCTCGTCAGAGTTGTACAGGAACACACGGAAAAGCTCGTGAGATTTTGATTTTTGAACAGCTGCAAAAAGTAGAGAGATGGCTTCCAATGCCACAGACAATGGGGAGTTTTGCAAAATTAACATTAATTGTTTTCCGTAACACAGAAATGAATGTTCCTGTTCTTGAAAAGAATTCAACCCATCCAAACATTAACTCTCGAATAAAGTAGCCTACATGGACACCACCATGTTGCATATATGTTGCTTGTCACTAACTACCAGCGATAACCGGTTGTTTGTTCCCGGCGTTCGAGCGGCCGACCCACGAACAACAAATAGAACTGTTCGTGAACAGACGGGAACATGCCGCCCGAACTCAGCCAATGGTGTAAGCATGCATATGTCGAGTAGCGCCCTCAGTACGTTGAAAAAGGAAGCTGTTATGGGGGTCAAAACTGAGAAGAAAGGGCCGTACGCGTTGGCCTATTTCCCAATCGTTTTCCTTTCCAAAGTCGCCTTGGAATAATTCAATATACATTATATTTCGTCCAGACCCAACTGAGCCTCTGGATCTCGTTATCAAGGAGCAAATGGGGACATCTTTCTTGATGAAAAACGGTTTTTATGTCATCACTTTGCCCATGTCCGGCTTACTGTCTTTCAACGCAAGTCTTTCAAATACCGTTGCTTAGAAACTCCACGATTTACCCATACAACCTTCACAGATAATAGTTCTATGTGTTCGGTCATCTCTAGCACTGTGAATAAATGCTTAACTACAATCCAACTCTAGGTTCACCCGCCCCTCGGAGCACCCACTTCGTTCCCAGCGACCCATCCACGCGCACCCCTCTAAACTCGCACACGTCTCGTCTCGACCATTCCAAGATATCCCCCCCCCCCTTTTCGGAAGTCTCATCCCAAATGCCCATCTTCACGCAGAGACAGGTGGAAAAAGCTCCTCTAACCGCACATAACACGTATAGCATTCATCACGCTCTCGGCCATGCCGGGCGGGGAGGAAGCGAGCCCGGCTCGGGGTGATCGAGTCTTTCACTCAGTGCACCTGCACGCTTGGCAAAGCCCGCTACTTCCCGGGGACCTTGACCGAACCTTCTCCCATCATCGCTGGTATTATTACTGCTGTCATTCATATTATTGCAAAACCACTAAAAACCCGCCAAGGATCGCGTATCACTAGGCCTATAAATAGATCCTAATCCTCGTCGTGAAAATTAATGTCGATGCAGATGGCATTAATTAAATTCACGAATGGAACTGCCGCAATTTATCATAGAAAGTGGCTGCACATTTTGATTTATCCACGAGCTTCACGAAGTCTGGTCTGCTTTTTAATTTTAAATCGTTCGAGCAAATAAACCAATTCATTTTTAACTTGGAAAGCCACAAGATATCAATTGGATGCTATTTCAAACTGCATTCAGAACAAACCCCTTTAATTCTATCAGCAATTTAAGACAGTTGCTGGTGTTCGTCAACTTTTTATATTAACATAACAGCGATTTTATGGTTTGACATGTAATAAGTCAGACACAACGGCACCTTGCGGTTGTCTTGGATAAGAGAATTAAAATCTATGGCTGGGTGAACTGAAGTACCCATGGTAATCTTGAGAACAAATAATAAAGCACTGAAACTATCTTTCCAGACATAAAGACCCTTTAAAGTTTTATTTCAAACGGTATTTATATATAATTAACATCTCCGCTTTTCATATACAGATTACACTATCGTAAAATGTTACATTGTAAAGTGTACACAAACCCCAGATGGTTTACATTTTGACTTGTTTGCACCCAGTGCTTAACTTAACGTTCGATTTGGAACAAAAAAAGGAAATGTGGGGATGAATACTTACTGGTCTAAACTGCCATGTAAGTACAAGAATACTGAATTTAAAGTTTTTATTGGCTGATTGTCACCTCGCTTTATCCAATCTTATGTCAGGTGGGTCACTGTGATCCTGTCACGTGATCAGCCCATAATCCTATGTTCTCTGATTGTCTTGCGGATGTGGCTAACCACATTTCTTTTGTCAACAATGCTTGTGTAAACGACCAGACCACAGGTCACCAGGGATAGGAAAGTTCCAAACTTAACAGGGTTACCGCTATCTGTGTGCCTAGTTGTGGGTTTACCAAAAACTTATAATATAGACTTTCGTACACAATTGCCCAAACAAATCGGATCTTGCAACTAGTGTTAAAACCAACTTGAGAAGTTCAAAGAGAGCAATCCCACGCAATGGTCCACCAAGAAGTAAATTTAAATGTAATGTCATTTTAATATAAAGGGAAGCTGGTTGAGGTTGATGTTATTACAAAAGTATGGGGCATGATAGAGGCAAGTTATGCATACCCTTCATGCTTATGAAAACAAAAGCCAGGAATGCTTACAGGTTCAACAATGCAAAGTCATATTTATGTTTGGAAACTGAATCCAGCCATAACAAAATGTGCAAAAATCTGGACATCTTACACGTTAATATTGTATTGGCCTCATGAGAACTCAAAAATACCCTAAAGACAAGAATGTATTCACTTATCTAAAGAAGTGAACTTAACAGAGTGTTGACTGAAATTACATTCAAATATGAAAGACCCACGGTAGGATTTCACCTTATAAGTAGCTTCTAAAATAGACTTGTTTCTAGTCTGTACTAGCCGTAACTTTGAAACCTCTCTAGTTTTCTATTTCTTTGTGAGCTCCCAACTTAAGTACTACACGTCATAATGTACTGAAGCATTGCACAGCAAAAAATGTACACCGTGACCATAACTTTCCAAGAAAATAAACTACCAAAATAATTTAGAAAAACAAACGAAAAATAGCAGATCCTTAGCAAAAAACCGAACACTGGGTCTGATGTCCCAAGGTCAAATTTACTAGGTTCAAAATTCCTAATTAAATATTCACAACAGTTGACCAATCACACACCACGTCAGGCTTCTAAAACACCGAGCAAGCTCAGTCAAGAACTGCAGTTGACCAAGATCGGGATGGCTTAAACGTCTGCAAGTTAAATGATCTAGTTTAACAAGTAGTTGAGTATTTTGGGACAATACATGATAACCCAGGGCTACTGCTGCATGGTTCTCAATACATGTATATGTATATATCACAAGTGGCGCAGGGAACCAGGACCCTGATCACTGTCATAACATCAGACCATAGTTTGCCAGGAACTTGTCCATTTGCACTGATATTTGCATTCAGATGCAATGTATGTCTTATTTCAACCATCAGTTGGCCAGTCGTTCTTGACCAAACTTGCTCGTTCGTGTGTATTTACAAGAGGTTGTATTGCACAAACAAACGCACACAATAGTAAAAAGTTTCCGAAATGTGTCTTCAAATTTCAGTTCAAACTCTGTACAACCAAATAATTACAATTCCAGGGACCAAAAAGGTTGGCTTTGTAATGAAAGTCATCACAGGTTCAATGCATTCCTGTGACTAATTTGAAAGCTGCATTTTGTACCAACAACTTGTAGGTAGGGAGAATTCGGCACACGCCACTACTGTATTAACATCGCCTCCCCATACTTCAATATGAAACAGACATAAGCCTCTTGATGAAGCTGGAAGAAATTCTCAATCCTGGTTCACAACCAGCATTGCCAATTCAAATCAAAAACAATCCTCAGCAAACAGATTGGTAATTCTTACACATATGAAACATTTTGCCCCGAACAAAATCCTAGCTACAAAATTTGGCAATATACCTGGGTGAAGTTTGAAGTACGTACCTGGAAGTGTAAAAACCAGTTTAAAAAATGTCATGCACTTTCCAATTGCTATCCCGGCTCCCTTTGCCCTATATCGACATAAGGGCTGGTAAAGGACACCCTCTGTAGTGGGTGTGGCTAAATTGATATCGTAGTACAGGCTATGAATATACCACTATAAAGCTTCCCTTAATGAAGATCTTCTGACTCCAGGAGCATACCACTCAGCCTATTTGCTTGGCAGCCACTACCCCATTCGAGGCTGACATTTCAGAACTTGTCATGATGGCATTACATGAGTCTACAGTTCTATCAACTTTTCCAACCACACATCGAGCTCACCAGACCGTAAAAATAGCCACTGGCCAGTGCACAGATCCCCATGCATGATACAAAAATTAATGAATTATGAATGAATAAATGAAAAGCAGACTAAATTGACAAAATAAAAACACATTTTGAAATGTGAAATTCAATTTTAAAAAAGTTTTAAGTGTAAATGTGCATTCTACACCAATTCTTAGAATTGGAGAAATTGTTGTCTAAACACAAATCAAACTCTTAATCAAAAGGCTAAATTAAACGCAAACTAAAAATGCATATACCTTTACAGACTTTTAAATGAGGAGTAACCATACACATGTATAACTCTCCTAAGGTCATGTCATAAGTATGCTGGCCGCAGATTATTAAAGTGTTTATACTTACTGGTGAAAGAATACACTAAAATCGTGAAATAGTTACATGAAAAAATTTCCATGTCATAAAACAAGCTAAATTTAAACATGGACAAGTTAATGTCTCTCCATCCTTCATTTTCACTTTGGTATTACAATTTTCGTGTCTTTACAAATAAATTACTTTTCTTTTTCCAAAATACATGTATCTACACAAACTTTCACCACACCTATATTTAAGTACGCAAACTGCAGCACAGAACTGTAAAATCAACAAAAACAGAGTTCCCAAGTGATCCAGAGATTTTTTTTTTGCTTGTTTCTTTGTTACTTTTATGATTTGGGTCAGGTTTCAGCATAGCAAACATCGGATGCCAACTGCTAGATACTCGGTAGAGATATGGTCGGACTTTTAACGTTAAAACTGTAATAAATTATGTGCTTAAATACGGCAAAAATATACACAATGTCACCTATGACCTGGACAACAGTCTAAAGCTTTATGGAATGTTTAAGAAATCATGATCATAGCTTGTCCACAGACGAACAAAAGCACACACGTAGATCACTGCACTAAAGCAGTGAACAAACAACTGTCATATTGCCACTCCGTTGATGAACTCATAAAATTCTTAGGAAAAAGAAAGAAAAGTGAAACCTCTTTACCAGATGTTCCGCTATGAATGAAAGTAAAAGATTATTGAAAGGAGGTAGAAAATGCATTACGAACTTATTGCAGTTTCTCTGTCAATTGACACCGTGCACCTACAAACAACCCAGCCTGAAAAAGTGCACCTGCTCCCATGGTGAGTTGGTCACAACAGGAGAAGTTTTTTGTTATATTTATGTTTGATAATTTACCTGGATTTGCCTGGAATACAGTGATGTTGAACAAAGTTTGGTCATTACCATATTACCATGTCTACACAGAGAATGTTGCTCAAGTTGGGACATCCATGTATGTCTTCCATAAAGCAAAATTAAACTTGGGTAGCCTAAGCGGCACTTTTTGGGGAAGGTCCTTTAGAATACTGGTACACTCTGACCGTTTAGCAAAATGTTACCAACAGAATGAAAGAATTTTCCACCGTCAGGCATCTTTGGTGAGTTTTGGGCAAGTCTGTGAAAATTCAGCCCCTACTCCCAGATGCACGAAGAAAAACGTTTCTGCGGAGACTGTAAGCAGCGTAACTGAGAAAGATGTTTGCTTTCAAAAACATTTGCCTTTTTAAAGGACATTTGCTATTTATACCACAACAACTCAAGTAGACCACTGTAACTTCACATTAACATTTAAGTGTGAACTGTTCTGTAACCACAGGAACATCCACTTGTATTCTCCTGTACAAGAATATAATGTACATCTTTCCTGAGATATTGTATTTACATGTACCTAAGAAATTCAGAATTGCTTGATTACCAGGGAATGGATTGGAAACCAGTGATCTGTTTGGCAGGAATTCCTGATCACCTGACCAATCAGGCAGGGGGGTTGCTTAGAATAGTGTTGTTAGTAAAGTGATTGAGGAAATTTATTAAGTTTGGGTTTGGTCATCTCTCAAGCTCTGTGCAAAGTCCTCAACCCTGCAAGAGCCTGGGTAAGGGGACAGAATCCACCCATCCTCTCAAATGTGTCACTGCAATGCCCTTTTTTTTGAGGTTGAACCTTCAAGTATTTTTCAAGGAATGTCTTACAATCAATTTGAGACCATCTACATGAAAGTTGGACCTGGAATTCGCATAAATGGCCAATTTTCTGAGACGATCGGCCAATAAAAAATAAAGTTTTCCTACAGAAATGCTCAATGCACAGGTGAATTTGATGAATAGATAATACGACATATCTGCCAAGTGTGGAAAAATCAGACATACAAGAGCAAAGACCTTTATCCCCACCCCCCTTCCGCCCCCCGCTTTATGAATTATGATTATTAGGATTATGAATGCTACCTTCCAGTCACTGAAAAAAATCCAGAAAGCCATTGGCACCCACAAAAGAAGGACCCACACTCCAAAGCACACACAGATTTTGTGAAGTGTGCGTAAATATTAAAATAAGAGCTAGGCTGGTTTTCAACTACAATGTCATGTGATGTATTTTTGTTTGTTACTGTTTTGTATAAGGGCAATTTCTTTCTGCAAAAGCAAACTTGCTTGTTTACCGTTCTTGTCAGACCCATGAATTGGTCCCAGAGCTGTCTTTTTGGGGGGAGGGGCTCAACTTGTCTGCAATGAACCTTCACCCTGAATGCTCAGCCAAATGCATTGTAAGTTCAGAAATTTGTATCCTAAAATAGCAGCTGAATCTCACAATAGTATAGATCAATCATCAGTCTTTCAACTTAACTCTAGCACGCAGTGGTTACTGGATATTCAAACAGTTGGAATACTTTTGGTATTATCGCGTCAACTATGGTGTCCCAAGCTTCCAAACTTGTGCAACATGTATTTCCTGACTCCTATGATGAGAAGAGATCGTAAGAGTGATGAGTATGCATTCTAACACCTAGGCCTTAAATTCGCTCTTGGGGGTGATCGTCGTGGGTGTGTTGGTTCCGCAGCCCCCGTTGCCATTGGCATTGCCATGGGTGCTGTTGCCCATCTCGTCCTGCCACTTGTCCAGTGAGCGCCGCCGGGCATTCATGAAGAAGTTGCTGACAGTGCTCAGCTCCAGCCCCAGCTGCTGGGCGATGGTGACCTGCATCTCCTTGGTGGGCCGCTTGGTCTCCTTGAAGATGGCGTGCAGCGTCCGGCGCTGGATGTCCGTGAAGACCAGCCGGGGCTTCTTGATGTGGTTCTGGGGCTGCGTCACCTTGGCGTCCTCTTCCTTTTTCTTGCAAGCTGCAAAAAGAGAGAGAGATGGAGAATGAAACTTCGTTAGAGCTAGGGCCCATCAGTGCGGTGGTGATGTACAACATAAACACAGGGTTCTAGTTCCGTCAGTGTGGGGACAACACATGTGTTGTGCAGTGACTATATTGTGAGGACTCAACATCTTTTGAGGACACATCCATGTCCCAATACTTGTGGCGCTGCCATACATGTACATGTCTGCTCTTGCTCTGAAGATATTGGGAACTACACCCAGACAGGCCTATACCTGTACCATAGCCATTGTTGGGACCACAATCTCTCTCCAACTTTTCAAATGAACACCAAAAAGAATTTAAAAAAGAAATGCAGTGCTGGCCAGGGCACAATTTCTACTTACACAGTCTCTAAAATTAACTCAATCACTTGTTCCACAGAATGAAGTGAAAAAGATTCCCTTTGACAACTGACACAATTCTGTAGTAAGATGATGAAATGCCAAAGTAAAGTTAGAACTGTTCGGAAAAACCATGCAGTGGTCAAAGAAGGTACAATGTTTCAAAGATTCATCTTGCTAAAAGTGTTTCACCTAATGCTCCCACATGAGCTAGGAGATTCCCCCTCCTGAGTCAACAAACACATCAAATTTCATTACATCACAGACCAGTAAGACACCAACCGCATCATGAAATGAAGCACGTACTTGATGCTCTCCTCTCCTCCTCCACTAGCTACCACCAACAATCCCCCCCTAAAAACACTAATCTGGTTTTCAGAATCGCCCAGTAATCAATTTACTCCAATTTTTTAGACAAACACCAGTAAGTGGTGTTCCCTGACCTACATTAACACTCAGCGCGAAGGCCGGTCCCAGACCCTTCAGGCAATCGTCGCTAGCTGTAAGCAAGAAAACCTGAAGGGGAAATACCCCAGGCAAATAAGGCAAAGTCCAACGCCTACACTCGGCCATTTTAGAGATTATTTGTGTAGATACACCCTGCGATGACTTATCATTTAAGCATGTGCAGAATCAAAGTATTTAAACAGCGGCTGTGTTGGGGTGAGACTCGGCGATTGCGAGCTCACTGTGGGCAAACAGCATCACATTAAATGCCCCCCCACTCTCTTTGAATGACCGTGTTTTAGAAGTTCACGTTTCACTTCAAACAGGTCCAAGCGTGCAACAGCCAGCACGCTACCCCAAGAACATGGGCAGATTTTTGCAGAGGCTCGGCAAGCCTCTCCTAATCTTTTTTTTTTCCTTTGCTTTCTCTTGTTTCTTTCTTTAAATACCCCCGCACCCCTCTGTTGTGTACACAAGCGACTGGCGGCCGGGGCTGGATGACATCGCCCGTGTTTGGGCAAGGTAATGGATGGGGGCCCAGGATTGGTCGCGAGGCCGTGCGCCAACACAGCCACATGACCACCGGGCACTGCACTAGAGCCGCTCCGTGTTATTAGAAAGGCAAATGTTTGTCGGATGGTGGGGCATGGAAAATTAAGCATTTAGTGCATCTTTGATGGTATACATTGCCGGTCCCTTTGCCTAGCTTGCACATTCCTAATGCAACCCCTAGGTGTGCTCGTGTTTCCTGTTTTTTTCCCCCCACCTTTCGACTGCCTCCACCCCAGTTACTCACTTTTCTACTTCAATTCAGGTCTTGAAAGATATCACATTCCAATCAACTTTCCTTCCACTAAAAACCTTTTTGCTAATCCTACTTTTCTGAAAAGTGATTCCAGTTGGCTAATAGAGCTCCGGTCAGCAAATGAATGCAAAATTAGTACATAAACAATATACGTTGGCCGACAGCATTTCCCCTTAAGAATGAAATGTAGCATACCACAGATCACTGTGGGAATTTTACACGAGGTTGGCTAACAAGTTCCAAGTCGACCAATTGAGTCTGGCACAACACCCCGTCCAAAAAAATGCCTTCGCTACCCCACTGCAAGAAAGTCCTTCCTTTATTTAAAATAAGACAAACTGCACGTGAATATGCACACTTCTTTAATGTCATGGTCCAGAAAATCTCAGTTGAAATAGTAGGCAAATCCAGCAGGACAACTGCAGTTATGCAGTTAGCAAGAACAGTCAACAGTTATAGACTGTCTTGTAGTTTGTAGTGTGCATCTGACTCTATATAGCCAAACAAATTAGGCTCGTTACCTCTTTTTCCACTGAGTTGACAGCTTATTTTACCCACTATCTCAACGGTCAGATTTATTAATTGTCAACGTTTTATCCAGTTCCCTTACAGATAAGACTCTGCAACAGAATTGCGTAGCAATTAAACACAATAATGTGGGTATTTTCTAAGGAGTCAATCACCTTCACTTTTTAGCCACAAAATATGTACCACATCTTCAAGTTCTCAACCATGTAACCCCCATTTTACAGGGATGCAGTTCTTCATACGGTGAAACAATTACACAAAAAAGTACCAAGTCATCATGAGACACGTCACACTCGCGGTGCAAATGCCAATGTGCATTTGATCCACCAAGGGAAGTCTTTCGGACGTGAATTTGCCAGAGTTGAATAGTCTCAACTTTCAGCAAATTTCACCGCGAACCTTTCACGACACTGAATTAACTTCCCCTCCCCTTTTACACAAAGTGTGGACCGGACTTGAGTGTACCCACTATCAATGCTTGTCCGTTTCTATATCCATCAATTTTTCTTATTTACCCATCTTGCCTCACTCTCATCAAAGCATCTCATCCTTTGTCTGGTCATCTCACCTCCTTCCTTTTTACAGCTGAACCATCACAAATCAACCCCATCCTCTCATTCTCGGGGCATCCCTTTTCACAAAATATGTCCATGTCTGGCTCCAAACTTTCTTAATTCATCCACTCCTCCTGCATCCCTCCGTTCTGTAGATTGCATCTTTTTTTCCCCCATCCCTTTCTCTCTGCTTCCTTTGCCATCCTCCTAAGCAGTAGCTATACTCTCCTTTTATCTAGCCTAACCCATCTCATTCAGGCCAGACAATACCGGCAACATCATGTGGCAAACGCCATTCAGTGATTACGGTCCGCCCAACAATGGCCGTCCCCGACGACATCATGCCATTGCCTCCAATCAAACAAAATTACTAAAATTGCATTTTGTCACCCAAAGTGCAGGCCTTTTTTTGTATCCTGCAACGCACCACAGGGCTTGAAAAGACACACACACATGCATGCACTCTCACACTCGCAAAACAACGGGTTCGTGGACAGCCACTTTGTGAAATACAGTAATTCAAGCTACGAGAAAATAGACTGGAATTGGTCATTCTTTTGGGAGCCGTAAATTCAGTTAGGATGATTGAATTCCTCAGGGGGCAATTGCCAGGAATGAAATTCCTAATATTTACCGACCAAAACAGACAGAGAAAAACCTCGCCGGACTTAATCATGTTTGTGCGCTTTAGGTGTGAAGAGACAGACAAGGAGACAGAAAAAAATTCTTCCTGTAAACAGTGGGAGATCTCTTCCTTTGGTTCACCCATTTTAGACAAAATTGCATTCTCAGTATCTCTCTTTAAAGATGGTGTCTTCCAGGATATTTCAGTACAAATACAAACTCTAGACAGTCATCAAATCAACTCATAAAATCTTTGCTCATTACTGCAGTTATTGCATGCACAGACTTCTTACTACTTTTTTAAGAGCACTGTCTGCCTGACTTTGGTTTGTAAGTGACGCTTAGAAATTTAGGCTGAGACAATTTGATTGATTGAATGCCTAAATATTTCACCTTATCCATTCAATATTTATTTGAATATACCAACAAAAGCAGAAACAAAATATATACATTCTTATACAAAAGTAAAGAAGAAAAAACTCAGAACAGGAATTCTTAGCCTGCTTGTTTGGTCCACTGCAAGCATTCACTTCCTTAAAGTCTTCTCGCAACAGCTTAAACTAAGCCTTTAGGAAGTAGTTTTGAAACAAAACAACTCTTTCCCTTGCTTGTTTTGTTGATTTTCATCTCTGAATACTAGATTTCAAAAACAGTTAATTTCGGAGTATTAAATTATCAACTGAATATCCAAATATTTGAATCACTGGCACAGCCCTACTGGAATTAAAGTGAAATGCTAATGCCATTTCAAATTTGTGGGGAAAAAAGAGGTCATTGGACATTTACTATAAATCTACTGATGAATAATTCAGTAATGTGATCTGATTGGATTCTTTTTGTTGTCCAGCGCCAGGGCACTCTGTGTTAAAACTACAATCCTAATATTCTTCATAACATTATTTTTGTGAAAAGTGTGTCCTTCTATTGTCATTTTCTCACAGCTAAATTTATACTTTTTTAACTTCAACATATCGCCACTCTGAAATTATTTTCTGTAAATTTAGTTTTTCCTTCAGAAACTCTGCTCTATATGAACCATGTTCATGGATTATTTTGTAATTTTACAACACAGCATGTGTATCCTGGTTTATGGTGCACATTCTAGAGAATTCCAGTGCCACTGAAGGTCGCATAGATGCACAATTGCAACAATGTCCGGGTAACAATCGTGAGAAACTACACCTGGGCCAACAATGGGACGGTTTAAGACTATTGTCACCGGCTGCACAGGACACCGTGGAAATAAAAGGCCCTGGCCTGTCTTTCAGAGCAGACGAGGGGATTACGTTGAGTTTTACGCACACATTTGTCCCCATGCACTGCAGGGCTGGACCATTCACTGGAGCCTGGGGCCAGCCTTAACAACACTTGCAGCGTTCGGCTAATCGGGCGGAAACAAATTATTATTGTGCAGGGTTTTTTTTCTCGCTCTCTTGTTCTTGATGTGTTAAACCTGTTCATCATGGTGCACTGCAATGCACATATGTGAAGATGCCACACGATATCAAACAATGGGTGCCAAAGGGTCTTGCAAATCTACAATGGCAATACCTATTAATGGGCGTGTTCCTGGGCCATCCATGGCAAAATTTAATCTAATTTAATTGAAGAAAATTTGGGAATGCATCTCCCGAAGTGTGTTGTTCTTAGGGCTGTTGCCTGTAGTATACTTACA